AAATCAGGCAATACTTTTCTTCCCCCATGGATCAAAACAATGCAAACAGCCTTGTCATGTTCCCAAACATTCATATACGCGGGACAATCAAGACAAAACTCAATAGTTAACCTGGATTACAAAGAGGGAAAAGAATGCAGGCTTGAAACTTAAGCATCAATATGACCATCGAGATTTCAGGAACTGATTCCACAGTTACAAATGGGTTTACTCTGCAATCCCAAGGTTAACATCAACGAAAGGTACGAAAACCCCAGAAGTAAATCGGACCAAACCAAAATGGGAACCGTAAAATATGAAATGCCTGCTCGCGTCGATCCTATATCCCTATATATCTCAATCGAGTTTCTTTTGAGCTGCGATTCAAAGAATGAACAAAACCAGTTTTATGTGATTAGAGAAGTTGCTGCGAACATAGCTGCGGTGTAAATAAAAAGGTTAGGAAGGATGATTGACAACAGATGGTTGCGAGATACATATGGACATAGAAAGTTCCTTTTATGAGTAATTTCAGGTCCAAGTTCAAGCATTATACACCACTATGGGAACTGTCAACCGAGAATAAGTACTTATTTCAGCCATGAAATCAGAACATGGTACCTGCAGTAAACAAAAGAGACATCATGAAGACGAACTTCAGAACAAAGATGATGATTAAATAGAAATCAAACATAAATATACAACTCTAGTGGCACATATGGAATGGAAAAAGCGAGACATAAAAGGTCAAAACAATTCTGGTATGCAGTATGTCCCAGATGGCCATTCCTTCCAAACCTGCAAATAAGAAGTGCAAATCCAGCATAAACTACCCCTGAAGTAGTGTGACAACAAAGAAGCCAACTAATAAAATTCTATCAGCTAGAAACATCATATATATACAACCCTATGTATTAACAATCCAAACTTCACAGTTGATAGATCTTTAAAAAAAATAAGAACTACAACATCCGGCCAATAGTAGCAAGCGCACAGGCTAGAACTGGTCAAAGTCGGGGTAAACTCAGAATTTCTATGTATAGAAATCCGAAATTGGTAAAGTAACTATGGAGAAAAGAATAAAAGGACATGAAATGCTTACCTGTAAATCAGAATCGGAAGGAGGGGCTTCACATTAATCTTTGAGACCGACCATATGCCTATTTGAGACCCAAGAAGAGGATCTAGAAGCAAAATCGACCCTCTCGCCCTGTACTATTCCTTCAATAGGTTTGTTCACAGCAGGAACCTGCGACGGCAAAACGACCTATGCAAAGTGGTTCCATCTCTCTTCGTTGGTTCGTGGCTCCATCTGGATCCTTCCGTTCTAAGTTCCCAAACCCACCTTCTTATCTTTTCATCTACCTCGCCGATCCAAACCTAATCCCAAAAGTTGAGCTTCTTCTTCCTTTTTTCCTAGAGACCAATCCAGCTTTCCAACCGCCAAAGTCTCAGAATCGGCTTCCCTTTCTGAGCCACAGTCAACATTCATGGAGCCATCAATTCGTTGGCCAATTAACGCCTCTCTAAGGAAACTACCAAAAACAAAATCTCAAAAATCAGAACCCGCACTGTCAGATCCAACAAAATTCTAGCTTGGGACATAATTTATTTCAAATCTATGACTAAAAAAGACGGAGAAAACAACGAAGAGAAAAGCGACTCACCGTTGTCTTCACCAGCCACTGATGGGTCCATCTCTTCCTCCTATGTAATGCCCCTCCTTTCCGGCCATTGTTCTTCTGCATCTCACTTTCAGGCTACCGATTTTGGTGTGGAATAATCAAATGTCGCCATTGAAGTCAGAGCTTCTCCTTTCGTTGTGGAAGCAACTTTGCCCAATCAAACGTCGCCAATGTGTCACTCCATCTTTCCTACCACTGTTGCCTTTTTCCAAAACCCTCCTCCGACGCAGGCTCTGCCGTCGCCAACCATTCATGGTGGTTTCGGAGTGAGAGCATTCTGGTGCCTCTTCTTCCCTTTTCTTCTCCGTCGACTGAGGGAGAGAGGTAGAAATAGATTTTCTCTTACCTTTTTTTTTCACTGTGGTGAAGATGTGGCAACCAGAGAAGACACTTTTTCTCAAAAGCACAGTGGAATAGTTGTTGTGGCATGGCTGGTGGCGTGTGTGAACGGCTGTTCAGAGGAGGCATGGGCAATAGCGTGTGTAGTGGAAGAACGTCTCCTTGAATAAGGGTGGGCAAGAATGTCCCGTCGGCGAGGAGCTGTGTACGTGAAACTCCTCTAACCATTTTGCGGGAGAAGTTTTAGAGCGCTCGACACTAAATGCCAAAAAATGAAACAGTAGTAGCAAAGTTAGGCCAATAAAGCGTACCCACCTTTCATGTATAATATAAAAGAAAGAAGCTAAATTGAAAGTTTGGTCACTCGAATTAGGGTTAATACCTTGTTATGGTCTGAACTATGACCATGTAATCAGCTTTGGCCAGTGGTTTGAGAAATTAACATCCTGACCCGAACTATGCAGCATATAGACAAAATTGGCATGGAGCGTGGTTTGACCGTCTATTTGGACGGTCAACACCGTTGACCGTTAGTCAATTGTCCATGTCATTGTCATGTCACGCCTTGTCAGCCTATTAATCATTAAGAAATCAGAATTCAAACTTTTTACCTAAACTTATTATTTACAATTTAAACAAAAAATAAAAAAATAATATTTGAAATTTTCCCTTATCCTCTCTCTCTCCTCACTCGGACCACACAACCCTCATCCCTTTCCCAATCGTTCTTCCCCCGACGGTCACCGGATCCGGCACCAAGTCACCAACTAAATCAAAAGGAAACTAAATCTGGTATCTAAATTCCACCGCGATGCTCAAGCTTGCGGCCACCCTCTTCCCAAACTCTCTCCCTTCATCAAAACCAGCTCTTCGGCTCCATCCCAAATTTACCAACCTCTCATTCCTCCACCAGTTTTACCTTAGTTCCAAAAACTTCACTTCCATCTCACTTAATTTCTTTCATGGCCTCACCAGTCTCCGGATCTTCTCCATCAGCGACAACCTCCATCTCTCCGTCCCCATGGCCAATCCCTCCCGATATCAAGGATACGAACCCAAACTCCGGCCGCAACCTTCCATCCATGAATTTACTTTGGATCACAAGGTCTTCAATTCTCTTCATACACCCACTGAACCAAAGACACAGAGAAGGGTTTTAATTTAAAGCCCGAGAAACTCCGATGGCCGAAAGAGGTAAAATGAAAATGAGCTCCGCCGTTTGATGAGTGTATCGTCGACCGTCACCGCCGTCACTGCCGCCGCCTCATACTCCCCTTCTCCCCTTAAACCCCCACCACCAGCGTCAATGTCGCCAAGTCATGACCGTCGGTCGCTACGGCGCATCGACCCCTTTCTCTATGGGTCGCACCACCACTAGTCAATTGGGGAGAGAGATCGGGCAAGAAGTCGCCATCGCCAGCTCTTTCCCTGTTGAATCGGCAACGAGATTCAGTGGCGGATCTTGTGATGGATGGTCGGCGAAGAAGCATTGGGAAAGGAATGGGACTGTGTGGGTAGAGTGAGGAGAGAGACGGGGGAATATTTAAAAAAAAATGTTCAAGTTTATCTTTTAAATTTTATTTTAGTACAGTATTAATTTTTTTATTTTTTATTAATGTTTATTTTCCACGTGGCGTCCACGTCAGCATAACATGCTGATTCATTAACGGTCAATGATGTTGACCGTCTAATTTGACGGAAATTCACGACTCGGGCCAATTAAGTCTATATGGTGTATAGTTGAGGCCAGAATGTTAATTTTTGAAACCACCGGCCAAAGTTGATTATATGGTTATAGTTCATGCCATAATAAGGTATTAACCCCTCGAATTACTAGTAAAGTTCACGTTAGCCACTATAATTACTTTATTTCATCCATAACCACTTAGATTAGGTTAACAGTTCAAGTTTGGTAACTCGCCGTTAGTCTCCGTTAACTTTTGCTGATGTGGCGGTTAACTCTTATAGTTGACCGTTAAATGAGTGACGTGGTCATTAAAAAAAATAATTTTTAATAATTTCCACCTCATTATTACAATAAATTAAAAAATAATTAAAACAATAAGGGCAAATACAATATATTATCCATAACTATTAAGCAGCGGGAAATTATAGCCACAACTATCGAAATACAAATTATTAGCCAATCGTTAAGTTTTCGTTAACACTTCTGTTAGTAATGATGACTAAGCTTTTACGATGGTGAGCTGGCTCCCACGTGGCAGTCATCTTATCATATTTTTTACGATGTTGACATGGCCTTCTACGTTAAAAATTTGAAAACAGTAACGGGCTGTTAGCCAAATCTTGACCCACAACAATAGTTATGGCTAATAATTTGTATTTCGATAGTTAGGGCTATAATTCCAATCTACTTAATAGTTATGGATAATATATTGTATTTACCCAAACAATAATTTCCACCTCAGATATCGGGTATTGTTGGTTCTTCTTTACAACCGAAGAGTGAGATCGACGATCGTACTGGCAAAATCCAGAGCATCCCCGTCGTCGTGATGGTGAGGATGAGGTGGAAGATGGTTAATGTTGTAAAAGGGGGTAACCGAGTCTGGATTAATGGGAGCTCCAATTGAAGAAGAAGAAGAAAAAGAAGAACCAACAATACTCAATATCTTCTTGATTCTCCGCCCACACGGCGCGCCTCTTCCAATTTATTCAATTTTCCGCTGCCACGGTTGGGCTCTCACATGCATATGCTTTTGAAATTCCGAAAGAAAGATGGATGAGGAGAACCAACAGCAGGGGATCGGCACAGCGGCGGTGAAGGCGATGAAGCTATATTCACGGTCGCCGCCGCCGGTCCTCGTGCTGGCCCCCGCCCTGGCAGCGCTTCTCTGTTTCCAAATCACGACGGCCGGGCCCGGGGATCCTTCGAATCAGATTTCCCCACCGACGCCGAAAGCTATTCTGGATTCTATGGGAGAATCCCGGCGAGGAAGACGGTGACGTCGATTACCGATTTCGGAGGGGTCGGCGATGGAGAAACGCCCATCACGAAAGCATTCCGAAAAGCTGTTCGGCACAAGTTGTGGTTCGGGTTGGACGGCGGATCGCAGCTGAATGTGCCGGCGGGGAGGTGGCTCACCGACAGCTTCAACCTGACCAACAATTTCACATTGTTTCTTGAACAAGGCGACGTGATTCTTCTCACTCTTCGGTTGTAAAGAGGAACCAACAATACCCGATATCTGAGGGTCAATTGCTCTGAGTTTTGGCACTATCAAAGAGGGGAGGGGATATAGTCAAAAAGTATGCTACATGCTATTCATCTTTTCTAAAAATGTGGAAGTTATTGTTTAATTATTTTTTAATTTATTGTAATAATGAGATGGAAATTATTAAAAATTAAAAATTATTATTTTATTACCTTTTTAATGGTCACGTCACTCATTTGAGAATGAGGGATTGATGTTATCAGGTCTGTGTTATGGGAAGCTGGAAGCTAGTATTCTCACGTTCATCATACCCACACTGCTGCTTGGACATCTGCTACTTGGCTTTAGCACCCTATTTATTTAGGCCTCAATCTTCTCTCTTACACTCTTACTACTTCAAAATAAGTTGCTTTAGTGTGTTTGTGATGAATGATTTGATTTAACTGAACTATTGCAGAGTGGTCTAATGGATGATGGAGCGGAGCAAGCACTGCTGGGTTCATGGATGGCACTCTTCCTCATATTTGCTGGCAGGAAGTTCACTCAGCCCATTAAGGTAAGAACAACAGCTGCCTACTCGTGGTGCATTGTATTTGATTCCATCAAAGATTTTCAAGGCATGTGTCCAACTTTGTCTTCTGAGATTTGTGATGTTGTTTTTGTTGGGGGTTAATAGGATGACATTGGCGATAAATCGGTGTTCATGTTCAATGCTCCGTCGGAAGAAGAGAAGAGGTCCTTGATCCAGAGACTTGAACAGCAGCAGCAATAGATTTTGAGAGCATTCCATGCTGCTGCTGTGAATTCAATATGCCAAACCTCAAAAAAGACTACTAATGGAGCAGGGTTCTAATGATACCCTGATGGACACTCTTAATGATTACTAGTATAAGACGTCGTGATGCTTCTTAAGATGGCTTCAATGTCTTACAACAAATTCGCAAATCTCTTGAAATGACTCGAACACCGACCTCTACTCTGTAAGACGATTTCAATGTCTTGTAACAAATTCGCTAATATCTTGAAATGACTCGAACACCAGACCCACTAATTTTTACAAATCGCTATTGAATCGCATTGAAACAACATCCCCCCAGCCTACGAGAAGGTGACCACGAAATCATCGACCAGACAAAACATGTCCTTGTTTTTATTTGTTTGTTGCAAACAGATATTTTTGTTTGCGCTGTTTCTGTTCTGGTGGCCATAACGGCGTCTACCTAGAGCGTATCTGCCATCTCCTTTCAACCACCAAATTTCCCCTCACACGAGTTTATTTATTTTTTCCCATTTACCGTAAAAGAAAATATGAGGAGGAAATGAAAAGATTGAAAAACAACAAATAAATTTCAAGAGAATAATATATCAGTAACCAGAGGGGGAGAGTGGTGGTTTCATTTTTGGCGAAAATTTTACAAACCCAATAGAGAAGAGAGAAAAAAAAAGGGGAAGCGGAGAGGAATGGAGACTGCCTTCTGTGGGAGAATCGGTCTCTCACCCAATCCCGTCTTCAATCCCAAGCCAGGTTCCCCCTTCCTTTCTCTTGCCTTTGGTTTGGGATCCGGATTATTGCTCTTTTCTCAATCTACATACCCTTTCTGGTTCATGGTCGATTTCTGTTGTCAGCTTCGTCAATTCCCTTTCTCCATTGGAATTGAGAGAGCTAGAATCTGGAATTTTCGTCCCTTTCTCTTCTCGAATTGAACTCAACTCGCTGCCAATTCAATTGGTTTATTTGGGTGGTTTATTTTCAGTATTTTGAGTCTTCAATTGGGTTTCTTTTGTTTTCCTGGAATGGTGAATAGAATAGAAGCTCTCTATCAGTTCTGCCTAGTAGATGAAAGTATGAAACCCGAATTGATAGTTCAACGCTGTAGTTCAGTTTGTTGAGGGCTGACAGACTGACTGACTTATTAGTAATTGAGGACTCTGGTATCGCTGCATGCATGTTGTTTCTTAGAGCAACTGGTCGAACAACACCATGACAGTCGACTTTTAGGATTCGTCCGGCATTGGAGAATTGGTTGTATGCGAAGTTGTCTACAAACAGTAGCTGGTTTTTGTTTTACTGTTTGCTTTGTTGGTGGAATTGGTGGGAACCACCATGGAGTTTTGTGGATGGGTAGAATCTCTCAGAGCTTAGGTTGCCCTGAAACTATCTGCTAACAGGTATTGTAATGTGCTTGCTTTAGCTTAGGCCATTAGATACTGGCAGTTGAATGAATTTAATATACAGCCTGCCTGACTCTAGTGTTCATTGCTCTCGCACATGCATTTTTACACAATGGCACATGTCGTAGCATGATGCAGAACCATCATGGTTCATGGATGGCTTGTAGGAGTTCCCTTTTTTAGATTTAACTTTACTATTACTGCTTTTGGAAGGTACTACATTGTTTCTTTGGTTTCTTGTTTATCGCTTTCCAATTCATCAGATTTGTAAACTTGTAAATTGCATATTTGGGTAGTTTACAGGTCTCCATGCAATACTGCATTTCTTTTTTCAGCATATAGTTATCCGTCTATGTTATTGATTCTTGGCCACAAGCTAAGACTAGTTATCTATGGGATGTGTTTCTCGATTGCTAGGTTTTAATTGTTCTGCCTCTGTTGACGTATCATATATTCCATGGTTTCTGAACCTTTGGGCACATTCTGTATGTTACAAAGTACCCTTGAACAGAAGTCGTATTGCAATGCATGGATAATTGGATATTTATTGGGTGCCCTATGTTGTTTGACCTTTACCGATATTTGCTAATGTATCGTCAGGGGATAAACACTCTCTATGTCGAGGAAGATGTAGCGTTCGTGGAATTCTCATGGCAGTATCAGCAGCAGCGCCAGGTAAAGGGGGAGGTGTACTTGACAGACCAGTGATTGAGAAAACCACTCCTGGCCGTGACTCTGAGTTTGACTTGAGGTAACAACCTCAATTTTCATTTTAACAAAAAACACAGATCAAATAAAATCTCTATTTTTCACCAGTATTGCCATTTTGCTTCATGTCCAGGAAATCGAGGAAAATGTCACCCCCTTATCGCGTGATGTTGCACAATGACAACTTCAACAAACGGGAATACGTGGTCCAAGTTTTGATGAAAGTTATACCCGGGATGACAGTGGACAATGCGGTGAACATAATGCAAGAGGCACACTACAATGGCCTAGCTGTGGTGATTATTTGCGCTCAAGCTGACGCGGAGGACCATTGCACGCAGCTGAGAGGAAACGGGCTGTTGAGTTCAATTGAACCTGCCAGCGGTGGATGTTGAATGAGGCAGTGAGGCCAGATCCAGAATGATAAGATTTCTCTCGAGGTTGCTTCTCTACAGTGTCTATGTTAGTTCTATTGGATAGTGTGTGTATATATGAAAACAAGACTGAAAATGATAAGAATATGTGGTGTAATACTTGTAACTTCCAATGAGTTAGATGCAAAAGTGGTGGCAAATGGTTTGTCCTTTTGAATAAAGGAACTTTTACCCTATTCATGGACTTGAATCCTAGTATTTAACAACTGTGGTAGTAGTTTTGCCAGAGAAAAAAGATACATTCTGGAAAAGAAGTCCTTCATAATGTTTAATCCAATTTTGTCTATGTTCATTGTTCAATAATACAGACTTGTCTATTGAGAGTGAGGTCAAGGAAGATCGGAGTATCTGATAGACTGATACTGATACCCCCCATGGACTTGTTGGAGGTGACAAAAACTACATAGATAGCACCACAAATATCCGTCTACAGTGGCAAAAGGAAAATGTTCTAATTCAAGTCCTCAAGTAAAGGCATGTTAGTCATCTGCTCAGCCACAGTAGTCCCACCAAAACATTCTCCGAAGCTAGAAATATGGCCTGGTATATTCGTCGTTCCGACAGACCTTTCTTCCGTTACAAGACAGAGTAGCGCTCTGGAACTTGGCTGAGCGCTAAATTAATAGCAGACTTCTTTCATGCATGACTGGTTTCTAAGACTAGAGGAACCACCTTTCCTATCCCTGTGGATGTAACAACAGACCTATGATTAGTTTCAATTATGCATAAACGTCAAAAGTAGGTTCCTCTTCTGATGACAGCATAAGAAACCTCCATGTGAGATGAATGACCAACTCATAAATGATCATATAGTCATTTTAAGTCGGGGTTGAGGTACTGACCGTTAGTATAGTTTACAAAGCTTCTTTTAGTTGACGTCGGAAAGAAAGGATTGGATGCCAAAAACAATGAATAGAATTCCACCTGAGAGGGCAACCTGAAACATGGGATCATAATTAATCTATAACTCTGATGAACAAGTAGAACAAACGCACAGCTTCCTCCAGGGCAGATGGAAAGAGCAGAATAAATGCACAACAATTTTTCAACCAAGCTAGTATGCATAAGTAGAGTATCTACGTACCATTCTCTCAGATATCTGTGATGCCAAGCTCTTCCCTCCTACAACAGCAGCAGTTGTACACAATGCTTGTCCTCTGAGAATCAGGGTCAGCCGAAAAGGGGGGTGAACAAGAAAAGAATTAGTGATCCTATGAAATGTTGTCAAAATTCATAAACTAGTAGCCAAAAAGCAATAAACTTTGATCACGTACAGAATCCCGCCAAGAACAACACCAAAAGGGTTCTCATCAGCAGCCAAACCAATAGTAGCTAGCTGCAATAGATGAAGCTCAGTGTGAGAATTGGGGAAACAACTCAATATTTTAATATAAATAATTAAAATTGAATATTCATAGAAAGAAAGCAGCAGTGATCATCTGTACCTGACTCTTGTCACCCCATTCACCAAAGAATGTAATGGAGAATGCCTGAAACAGCAAGCACGGAAGAAACCAGGTGAGCTTCCGAGGTTTCAGACAATAAATGTAGGAAAATAGACCTCTTACCTTCAACAAAATCGGTGAAAAGAACTGTGCCATAAATGGCCGCTTTTTCTTTTTCGACTCATCACCATTCTGTCAAAAGTTCAAGCAGTTAAATTAGGAGTGACTTGGGTGAACAGAGAAGCCAAAAGTAATCAATCATGAAAGCTATAAAAGAACATCAACAGATGCCCAAAATCATAATCTCTACTACACTGTTACTCTACCTTGCTATCTTCCTTGTTCGCTCCAGCACCAGATTTCCAGTCAGCATCCTACAATGCCGATAAAGGAAAAGTTAAATAGGATTCACTTGATGTAAAATGTTATTACATGAGATAATTACCAATTCTGCTTCAACTTCAGCCAATTCATCAGCATCCCTATTGAACAGGAGAATTAAAACCAATGAAAGAAAAAATAAAGAAGATGAATAATCAATTTGCTATTGCTGAAGAAAGCAAGAAAGAAATAAGATAACAAAACAATAGAACAAGCAAGATGATATCAAACGGAAGAGAATGGTCAGATAAGTAGCATACCCATCTCCTTTAAACCCATCCCACAAGGACCAAAGTCCAAAGCCAAAAAACAATACTGTCGTGATATGATGTGTCCATGTACGAGAGAGCTGCATAAACAGAATGAACCATGACATAAAAGAGAGGTCGGCAGAAATCAGACAATGCAGTATAACCTAGAACATAAGGGTGAAGACTTTAAATACACAATCACGCTTACAAATCCCCAAATAATGTGCAAAGAAAACCACTAAAAAACCAAAACAGAACAAGCCCAACAACATGACTGAGTTCACATGATTATACAACACAGCACCAGTTCTGAAGAGGGCACGAAAAAATTGTCATCACGGTTTGTTTGGTCTCACAAAGCTCAAAAAATGTCTAAATTTCTAAGAGATTGATGGGCCTTGAACTTCATGACCTATGTCAATCATGTATGAAAAGTAGGTCACAATGGTGCAGCGGGACAGAGAAACATAGAGAAAGAAAATCGATTTTCTGAGGCCAACTTCACACAAAAGCACAAAACTCTTCTAGCAAGATCGTACCAGATTTGGAGCAGCCCAACCGACAACAGCAGAAAGCATAGTCATGACCTGCAAAATGTAATTATGGTATTAAATTAGCTGAGAGGCATGGGAGTATCAACATGTAAAATCAAGGTGATGGAGATGTGAAAGACACTTACGATCAATGCACCCAGGCATCCTGCCAAAACAAGCCTCCTTGGATGACGCATTGCCAATATCTTGAAACAACCAAAATATTTCAGATTGAGCCAAAGTGAACACACAAAATACAAGAAAGCTTTCAGAAATAAAAGGGTCAAAGCTTTAATAAAATTCAGGTACAATGAATCCAAAAGCTAACAAACGTGTCATTATTCTCATTTTGGAGAGTTCAAAGCATTTAAGCTGCATGCCAATTAACTGTTGAAACCGGAAAATATGGCACAAGATTCATCACATACAAAAATTCAGACAAGCAACTGAAAACAAATGCATCAATTATAAAAACTTTGGTGCAAAATTGCCTCAAGGGCTACATAACCAAAAACAAACAACATCAATCGGTTGCTGCTACCCCATCCAATAGCATGGAAGCAACCCCTACAATGATCATACTCAAGGGACTTCATCATTTGGTGTTATAAATAGAATCCCCTGCATGACACAGTACTGATCAAGATAGAAGAACCAGTTTTACGAGAAATATAACTGTACTTGCACGAATTCATAGACCATAATACTATGGCTACAGTCGCTTCATACACCACCTACGTGGAAGCTTAAAATTGTACAGAACTTGCATTAAAAATGGAGGGGGGAAAGTCTTTCTTCGGAGCTTATAAGAGAGTTTTAAATTTACAAACTGGGGACACTCGCTATGCAATAGATTCAATGGTTTCATGCAATAGATTCAATGGTTCCATATTCCTTTAAAGTTAGGTAAAGCAAGCCGATCAGCTTTTACGAGGAGTACCCGTCTATAGCTAATCTAATTCGCTTTAGCATATATACTTTGATTCTAAATTGGCTTCATCCACATCCTGCTCCAGCAGCGGAAAAAATATTCCAGAAACAACCGGAACGAAGCCGGAGAATTCAATATCAAGTTTCCGATCAAACCCGGTAACCAAAGAGATTTGTATGGGAGAAAAAACTCACCGCGGCGGCGATGAAGGTCTTATCGCCGATCTCGGACAGAATAGTCATGGCCAGAGACTTGGTAAAACCCTTGATCACCAGAAGAAAAACAGCAAACCCGGTCATGAATCCCCGAATCAACAACCCTGGTTCTGATAATCAATCTGAAATCGGCCAACTCAAAAAAAAAAAAAAAAAAGAATCTTCACCTGCGCAACGGAGCCCATTGTAGCTTAACGAAGTAGCAGCAGAAGCAAACGGCCGGAAGTCAAATTACGGCGGGTACCTCGCCGCCGAAGGAGGGAGACTGGCGTCGCGGGTTGGGGGACCGAGTCAAAGTCGAATCGGCGGGTGTCGTTGAATAAAACCCGAGCCCCCGAAGTTGTAGAGAGAGATTTCCTGCAGAAATCTTGCGCTACAACTGGGATGCAATTCTTATACAAGAGGAAGAATACAAAAAATATATAAAATGAGAAATCTTCGGTTTGTTTTTTCTTTTGTTAGGTGGGCGTAAGGAGCGTGGACGTCAATCGCCGATGAGTAAGCGAGTGGGACAAGACTCTTCTACTTTGTCGTTTGGCCGCTAGACTTTGTGGTGAAATTATTTTATTTTTTTATTTATGAACGAAGGTGAATTGTCCCTCAAAATGTACCAACAAATTTTTAGATGGTTCTTAGTTCGTACCAGCAAATTTTTTAGAAAAAAAAAATGTAACAACAAGTTAATTTGTTTTGAAATCGGATGCCAAATTATTGAATATATTACCAACTATTTTTAGATCTCTACACACCAAGATAGGCTGGCTATTTGGTGCAGGTTTTTTGGTTTTACCCGAAATTGTACCGTATAATCCAGACAGAGACCGGATAGTAAATATTTCAATCCAATCTTTGGACTTAGATGTGAGGTAAAAAAACCGTTCGGGACCGGATCGAAAACTGAATAAAGACCGGATAAGAGAGCTCAACACCTAAAAATTAAGGGTAATTTGCATAAACGGTCACAAACCTTTGCACTTAGTACAAAACTTAACCAACTACTCACCCTTTCAGGCCTTAGGCCACTCAAATCCCCACAAGCTCAATAAAAAAACAAGACCGAATTGGGACTGGACCAGGTCAAGATCGGACCAAATCAAGACCGGACTGTATCCAATCCAATCTTTGGTCCTTATATTTTCAAAAAGACCAGACTGGACCGGCTCAATTTGGGCCAATTTAATCGGACCGTATAGTCACCCCTACTCCAAGACATATATACCCAATTGCCTGTGCTTAAACTTTAGATTGACACTATTATCTTTAATGCGCTCCGGCACATGATAAGTGTTAGTGAATGAATTCATTATTGAACATCTCCCGACAATTCGAATTATTGGAGTCAAAGGGTTCTTGACATGGTATAGAGCCACCGAGAGGTCTTAATCTTATGTTCGAATCCGATAACCCTATTTATTTGTAAAGCACATAATATTCTTGTATTCAGACCTGTGTAAACAAAATCCTTATGAGTTGACTGATTTTGGTTTGAGAAGGTGAGTTAGTGAGTGAAACAATTAGAGAAAATATCAAAAAATTAGGAAAATTTTGCCAAACGATCCCTTGTGGCAATGATGGTTGGAAGCTCCGTCCTAGTATTGGTGGTTGACTTGTTGTGAGGTGAGAGTAGACGAACAGAGATTCCGCAACTTGGCAATTGGCGCGTGAGGGATCTAAGTCAACTGTTCTTGTTTGTGACGTGTTTTTTTTTTATTTCTGAGTGATATCAATTGAGGACAAGAGTTATTCATACAAATCTACCCAGGACCCCTTACAATATATTCTAATGAAGCCACCCAAAAAATCGAAAAATTATAGCTCTAGACGAGACAAAAGCAGTGCTTTACACGCCACTCTATGGGCAGCACTGTTGGCAGTTCTAGGTACCGCCCTAAACTCTATACAAATGGACAAAGAGCTAAGGATCTGACGACACTCTCGTAGATTAATGGGTAGATTAATGGGCTGTAGGCAGGGCTGCAAACGAGCCGAGCCGAGTCGAGTTTTTGTTTAGCTTGAGCTCGGCTCGTTTATTAATTTTTCAGCTCGAGCTCGGCTCGAACTCGAATTTTGATAATCCAGCTCGAGCTCGAGCTCGGCTTGAATAAAAATAATCTAGCTCGAGCTCGACTCGGTAGAGCTCGATAAATGCTCATTAACATAGCTTATCAAACTTAGTACAAGCTCGGCTCAAGATGAGCTCGATTTAAAATCATTTTTGCTGGAAAAATGTATAAACATAAGAAATTTAAATGATAGAAAGAACACTAGAAACTATAAATAACATCTAAATTTCATACACATCTATATTAGAAGACAATGTTCATGTTTAAAATAGTAATTCATCTTTCCACAAGCTCAAAACAAGGCAGCTCGCGAGTTTAGCTCGACAAGCCACCGAATCAAGCTAGCTTGCGAGCTTATCAAGCTGAGCATGGTATAGCTCAGGCTTGGCTCGTTAACCAACGAGTTGGCTCGCGAGCCGGCTTGTTAAATAACGAGTCGAGTGTCGAACGAGTTTTTTCTGATTCGAACGCCGAGTTGCTCGCGAGCGGCTTGGCTCATTTGCAGCCCTAGTTGTAGCATAGTGCTGATCTAGGTTTAAAAAAGGCGTCGTAAGTTGTGCGTTGAGCCTTGCACCTAGCTTTTTTAGATGTAGACTAAACGTGTCTAGGCATTAGAAGAAAAATAGCTATTCACACTGCATGATGAATGAAATAATAATCTAAAACACTTCCTCATTTCAGTTAAAATATTTTATAACTTACTCAACACTTAATGACAAGAATATAGCTCACGAATTCATAAAATCATAGCTCAATAGCTCACAAAGTTCTTGAGCTATTGAAAATATTGCAATAGAAAATTGGTTTCGTAGTTGATGTTACTTTTGGTCTTTAATATTGACTTCTTAGCTCCATCTAGTAATGTTTAGGAGAGACTTATATGTCGCCTTATTTCATTGACGTGTTCCAGTATTCAATTAGGCGTGAAACCCCTAGGCAAGGCGTTTTGTAATTGCCTAACGCCTAGACGTACTTAAACTATTATGTAAGTTTAAGCGTGCCTTTTTGAACCATAGTGCTGATATAGATTATAGTGACATATTATCAGCCAATCACAGAGGATAGGATATGCAGGGCAAAATACCAAATATGACATTGATTATAATGACTTATTATCAGTTAATTACTAAAAACTACTAACAAAACCTCGTGCTACTCATCTATAATTTCTCCATCAAACGGTTTTCCCAGTAAAAGTACAGAAGTTAGTGTACAAGTAATCGATTCTTGGGCTTAGAATTACAGAATCCATACAGATTCGGTTCTTCTTCCCTACTTTCCTCCATGGCAAAACTAGTACACTCAAATTTTCCAAGTTAAAACAGGCATTCTAAGGTCCAGTGGACATGGAATCTTTTTGCTCCAAAGCACCATAAACACCCCAGGGATCTGTACATAACCAAAGTGAATGAACTCAAAACAACAGGAAGATTTTGGGCTATTCGTCCGAGAAAGAAAGCCTTTGCTTCTTCCACTTGTAAGCCGCTTCCAAGATCTCGAGGTTTGGAGCATTATTCTCCTCCGGGAAGACATAGTGAATGAACTCAAAACAACAGGAAGATTTTGGGCTATTCGTCCGAGGAAGAAAGCCTTTGCTTCTTCCACTTGTAAGCCGCTTCCAAGATCTTTAGGTTTGGAGCATTATTCTCCTCCGGAAAGACATAGTCGACGTAGTCTTCCATCCTGAGAAGAACAAATACATCCCAACATTTGTTAAACTTGCTGTTATAAACGAAAGTAATCCAAGTGGAACAAAGAAGAATATTGGAAAACAACGGAGATTGTAAAGTTAGGTAGCTTCTAACTACGTACCCAGAGAGACCATCTTCTGAATTGATAGGCCGCCTCCTCTTTAACTTCTTGGGTAGCTTAGGCTGGACCAAAGCGACATTGCCAAGCTCGCCAAAGTTGCTCTCCATGTTTAGCCATTCTTCTAAAAGCATCGCCCGCTCCTCTTTCAGCTCGGGAGCAGAAGTTCTGAAGTAGTTAAGAGCTTTCTCAAAGACACCTGATATGCACACAAAAAAAAAAGTTGTTGAAATGAATAAAAAATGACCTTACCACCTCGAGCAGAAAAATACAAGAAATATAATTAGAGAGTAGAGACAGAAAGCTTACTTCTTGCGTTTTGAATACACAATTTCTTCTGGTCCTCAGAAATTGTAACTTCCTCCGAATCATCATCATCATTATCATCATCATTCCCCATGGCGGAAGCTTCAAACTTCGCATAGCTAATCCAGACTTTCAAGTGCTTGGTCCGATCCAACAGCCTCTCATAAAGTTGTCTTGTTCTATCGATTTGCTTCTCAGAGATTTCAAAATCAACATATGCCTGCAGTCAAATCAGATAAGAGTCAGTTTCCAATTCATAGCCAGCAATCCACCAATCAAATCCATAAGCAGTGCAGGAAGGGGGGGGAAACTTATGCTACCATCAAGACACTGGGAAAGCTATCAATTAGTTACGCCAAATCCTTTATGGAGAAAACCACCGAAGAAGAAAATGAACCTCGAAAATAACAACAGTGACAGGGGAGAGGCTTAGACTAAAATAGAGATTATAGAATGTACCTTCCAAAGAAGCTCAGGCATATCCAAGGCTGGCTGAGCAATGGCGAGCTCAAAAATTGCTCTTGCTCTCTCAGTTTCACCAAGGGATCTCTCCAGCTCGGCAAACTTACTCCAGGCATAGCAATTTTGAGGGGACCACTCCAGGTACTTCTCATAAAGTTTGCGGCAACGGTCCATATTACCAAGTTGCAACTCTATTTCGATATATTTCTTGAATATCTGTTTGGTCACAAGCAAGTAGTTAGAACGAGAAATAACAGTGTATTATGAAGTTTCCCACACTCAACAATGTTCCTAAGACTTACCTTGTCCTTTGGAGCCTTTCCAATTGCATTGCCTAAAATCTGTCTAGCACCCTTCAGATTTAGATGACGGATCTCAAACTGTGCAGCTAGAAGCCAAATTTTAGCAAATGAGAACTTATCGTGGGGAATTTGCTGCAAACATAACCTAGAACCACCGCAACCAGTGTTAGAATAGAAAGCCACTCGAGGTTGGTTCAGCTTCAACTGAAAACCATGCTGGTTCACGCATGTCAAAATAAGTATACGAGTAGAAACAAGTCCCAGAACAATCTTTACACAAATTCTTGACATAAAAAATCATAAAACCTGTATAGCAACCAAAAAGAAGAAAATGGGAGCAGCAAAAACTACCAACAAAATATATAGCCTAACTGTTGGTATACCTGTAGACCGCCCTTGTTCGCTCAGCATCTTCAGCATCCAGCTCTTCATACAGGGCATAGTTTATCCTGAATAACAAAACCAGAAAGGTAAACATAATTACTCACGAGTAACAAAAAAGAAATCCAGTTCAATCTACAACCTAGAAAGAGAATAAACAGTGTACCACAAATAAATGTATCGCTGCCAGTATCTCTTTTCCGGAGCAGGAGGCTCATTAGCAATGGCACGTTCATAAACCTCTCTAACTCTATTCTTGTCCCCTACGCTTTCTTCCAGCCGAACATAATCAAACCAAGCATCATAATTGAGCGGGTTTTTCCTCACTTCATCTTCATACTGGAATCTCCTTTTACTGACTATCGCATCCTCTATCCCCTCCTTATCTCCATACTGCTTCTCAAAAGCAACAAACTTCCTATACAGATCCTCGGCACTTCCCTTGGGGATATGATCCAGTGCAAACTTGTATATACACCGAGCACGTTCAGTTTCCTTGCACCTCTCTTCAAACTCGGCAAATGCCACAAACAAGTTCTCTGCTTCCTCATCCTCGGCCAGCTTCTCGACTGCACGCTCATACACATTTCTAGCCCTAGCAATGTCACCATTCTTCATCTCAAACTTGGCAAACCTAATCCAAGCAGTAACCTTCGGATGGCACTCAACAAATCTCTCGTAAATTCCTCGAGCACGCTCAATCTCGTTATACCTAAGCTCGAATTTGATAAAGGAAAGCCAACCTTGCTGGTCAGGCATCCAATTCATCCACCTCTCGAAGATCTGGCGCGCACCAGCTACATTACCAAGCATTTCCTCCATATGTATATACTTATACCATAGCTGATCCACTCTCGGCAAAAGACTGACTGCCCTATCCCAAACATTCCTCGCATGATTGACGAACTTGTTCTTCATCTCGAAATCCGCATACTTCAGCCACAGCGTGTGGTTACGGTAGTCAACTTCGAGAGCTCGCTCCCAGACCGAGCGAGCTCGGCTGAAATCCTTTTGCGACTCCTCCCACTGAGCATACTTGACCCAAACACTGATGTTCCACCTGACCCGCCGAATCAGGTCCTCGTACTCCTTCCTTTTGCGAAGACGGTAATCCGCAAGCTCACCGGTGTCGGTAATTTTCTGCTTGGGAGGGCGGATTTCGGCTTCCTGCCGCTCGCGTGCCTCCCGAAGAATCTGCTCCGCAGTGATTTGAATCGGAGCTGGGGTCTTGTTCTTGACCCGAGTAGGACGAGGAAGCTTTACCTCCGTGTCCTTCCTGGTGAGGTAGCCGAGAGATGCATCGGCCTCCTTTCCTGAATTCCCCATGGCCGGCGACTCGACAAGAACTTGCTCTCTACTTCAGCCGTGAGGAGAAGAGCCGGCGAGTTGAATGACGGCCAACTGGTGGTGACTGGGGTAACAACCGGCCGGCGAGAGAGGACAGTGGAGGAGATATTGGTGAGGACTGGGGATTTGGGTGCGAAAGCTTTTTCGAATTTGCGGAGTTCCGTCTTGCGTAGAACCCTAAATGAAATTTCAATACGGGGAGGATATGTTGGTCATTTACCTTTCTTTGCCTGCATTTTCCTTTTCGTAGACTGATAAAATAAAACCGGCCGGTAAAAAACCGAAATCGAACCGCTGGCTCGTCGGATACCAGGTTAAATCGGCTCGACCAGGGACTAATAATATGACTCGGCGGACTGAGGCGGCGGCGAAAAGTAACCGGTGGCGGTCGGCGAATCCGAAGAGAGATTTTGGTGGTCTCTCTCTGTGGTCAGATTCTGACTGACGAAATTCTGCCCCACTGGCTCACACTGCCCTCTTTCTTTCCCCTGCGGCAATTCTTTTCTCTACGCCGGAGCGGGGATCATCTCCGCCGCACCCTGCTCCTCGTTTGCTAGCCGTTGAGTTTTTTGTTTTTTGCAATTGACAGCCTATCATTTGCGCGCAATTTTCCTTCCATCTTCACCGTTGATCAGTTTCCTTGTGCACTCCCCACAGGAATGGAATGGAAAAAAAAGAACCCTAAAGCAGTAACCAACAACAACCAACTCCACACTCTGTCCTCGTCTTCTTGTTCTCTGCCTCAACTTCCAATCCTTGTTTCCTCAGATGATTGATTGACTTGGACTTTCGATCCAGTTCTTCTTCTTATTAATTTTTAATTAATTAACTCACTACCCACTCCAGTTTTCTCCGTTTCTTCCCCATTCCGTTCACTTTGATAAAGCAAGGAGACTCACTGCTGGCAGAAGAAGAGATAATCTATTTCATCGTCGCATCCGCCCGCCATGAGGGAATCATTCCCAGTTCAAGAACCTCCTCTTCGTCCGCCGTATCGCCTTCCACCGGCGATCAGGTCAGTTTCTTCCTTGCTTCCTTTTGTATTTGTAGAAAACGAATGATGCGGAAAAGAAGAACACGGGGACAAGATTTACGTGGTATCCTTGTTCGTTGTGAACTGGACTAATCCACGGTGAGCTCGGAACGAGCTCACGGACTGACTTTGTATTATTTGACTGCGTGACCTAGCTTGCTTTGACAGGAGACCCAAAGCTTATATAGTGACATAGGGAAAACTAATTCCCTTTGAGTAATGACTCGGTTTTCCTTTACCATAGCAACTAGGAAACATAGATTTACGTGGTATTCCTGTTCGTTGTGAACAGGACTAATCCACGGTGAGTTCGGAACGAGCTCACGGACTGACTTTGTATTATTTGACTGCGTGACCTAGCTTGCTTTGACAGGAGACCCAAAGCTAAGCTTATATAGTGACATAGGGAAAACTAATTCCCTTTGAGTAATGACTCGGTTTTCCTTTACCATAGCAACTAGGAAACATAGATACAGTAGGACACAAAGACTTGATTACTTGGGACACAAGACAAAGTAACCGCAACACTCCCCCTCAAGCGAAGGCATGAATGTCCAACATGCCGAGCTTGGAAAGAAGATGACTGAACTGATCTTAGTAAACAAATCTGCAGGCTGGTCATGAGTGGCGATCTTGCAGGGAGCAATATCGGCAGAAAGAACACGTTCGCGAACAAAATAGCAATCCATCTCAACGTGTTTTGCACGCTCATGAAACACCGGGTTGGCAGAGATGTGCAAGGCGGCTTGATTGTCACAATGGAGAGGAGTGGCAATCGTGGAAGGATGACCAAGCTCGGAGAGCAACCAACGGAGCCAGACTATCTCACTGACAGTAGTAGCCATGGCTCTATACTCGGCCTCAGCAGATGATCGGGCAACAACTGACTGTTTCTTAGTGCGCCAAGAAATGGGAGCACCGCCAAGACTAATGAAGTAACCAGTAGTGGAGCGGCGAGTGGTAGGACAACCACCCCAATCCGCGTCACAGTAAGCCTCGAGATGAAGAGGGTTCTGAGCTGGAAAGAAGAGACCACGGCCAGGAGATTGCTTGAGGTAGCGCAGAATACGTACAGAAGCATCAACGTGAGCCTGAGTAGGTGCATGAACTGCCTGACTTAGAATATTGACTGCGTATTGGATGTCGGGACGAGTGACCGTAAGATAAAGTAATCGCCCAACGAGACGCCGAAAACTCGAGGGATCGGGAGCTGGGGAGGAAGGAGCACGACCCAGGCGATGATTTTGCTCAATGGGGGTTGCACAGGGACGAGTTCCTTCGAGCCCACAGTCGGCGAGTATGTCCAGGACATACTTACGTTGGTTCAGCACAACACCCTGACGAGAACGAGCAACTTCGATACCCAGGAAATACTTCAAGTTACCCAGATCCTTGATAGTGAACTCGGCATGGAGAAAATCCTTGACCTGCTACATAAAATGCTCATCATTGCCGGTGAGGATGACGTCGTCGACATATATAAGCGCAGCCACAAAACTAGAACCAGACCGATAGGTGAATAAAGAGTGATCCGCACGGCTTTGAACAAACCGCAACCCAAGTAGTGCACGAGAGAAACGTTGGTACCAATTTCTTGATGCCTGACGAAGACCATAGAGAGACTTTTGCAATCGACATACACGAGAATCACCAGGACGAGAAAACCCTTGAGGAACTCTCATGTAAACCTCTTCTTGAAGATCGCCGTGTAAAAACGCATTGTTGACGTCGAGCTGATGGAGAAACCAGTTCTGACTGATGGCAACGGCAATCAAGCACCGAACAGTGACAAGTTTGGCAACGGGAGCGAAAGTATCGTGATAATCGATACCTTCGATCTGGGTGAAACCTTTCGCCACTAGACGAGCTTTATACCGGTCGACAGAGCCGTCAGGTCTGAACTTGACCTTGTAGACCCATTTGCAGTCGACGATACGTTTACCAGGCGGTGCATTTGCTAACACCCATGTTCCGTTGGCCTCTAGAGCATCGATTTCTTCTTGCATTGCTTTCCTCCAATGCTCATAACGGATGGCCTGCCAGAAGTACGTGGGTTCAAACGTAGCAGTGACATTTGCTACAAATGCACGATGATCAGGAGAGAGTCTCTCATAAGTGACGTGATTGCCGAGAGGATAAAGAGAGGCATGCTGCGCATGCGGACGTAAACTGGGGAGGTCCGTGTCATAGTCTTGGAGACGGACCGGAGGACGAGAGACACGCGTGCTGTGACGTGGCACTGGCTCGGTCGGAGTTGTGGCCGAGGGCGATGGACTGGTTTTTCATGCGATGGACTGGTGGCACGCAATGGACTGGTTGCATCGTTGCTGGGACCGAGAGAGCTGGCGGGAGAGGAGGACGGCATCGCGGACGAGCTGGACGAGGCAGGAGGACTGCTCGCGTGTGGACTGAAGGGCGAGCTGGACGTGTCGGGAGTGAGGGAGGATGCTGGCGGAGAAGCTGAAGCTAGGGAAGTGAGGCCAGCAAGATCATCCTCCTCACGTGAAGAAACCACCCCCTGCACCATTCAAAAACGCCAAGATCGGCATGCTCGTCGTCATCCTCATCATGTGGTCAAGATGTGGACGAAACCTGGGAAGGCAATGCTGCCGACGTCCCTAGCCTTTGGAATGGGAAGACCCCTTCCAAGAAAAAGACATCACGGGAAGTGTAAATGGTCCGTCGAGCAACATCAAAGATCCGATAGCCCCGCTGATGCGCAGGGTATCCCACAAAAATGCCGGGCTTCCCACGAGCTGCGAATTTTGAAAGACCAGGACGCGTATCCTTGGCATAGACGAGGCATCCGAAGGTTCGCAGGTGATCAAAGTTCGGACGGTGACCAAGAAGAACTTCGTGGGGAGTTCGATGCTGAATGGTGACCAGTGGCAAGCGATTAATAAGATACGCTGCCGTGAGGATGCACTCTCCCCAAAAATGAATCGGTAGACCAGCATGAAATCGGAGTGCTCGTGCAGTGTCGAGAAGGTGTCGATGCTTTCTTTCAATGACCCCATTTTGCTGCGGAGTGTGAACACAAGAAGTCTGAATAATAATCCCGTTCTGTTCATAAAACTCACGTAGCGCAGGAGTACTGAATTCTCTGCCATTATCTGCTTGGACGCGCTTGACACTTTTCCCATACTGCGTTCGAACTTGATTGAAAAACATGAGAAGGTATCGAGCAACTTCGGATTTCTGCTTTAACAAATATACCCACACAACACGACTAAAATCATCCACGATTGTGAGAAAATAATGAGCACCAGAAAACGAGGCCTGTTGATATCCTCCCCAAATATCAATATGAATAAGATCAAAAACCGACGTAGTCTTAACAGTACTAGCAACAAACGGTAGCCGAGTTTGTTTGGCCCGCAAACAAGATATGCACGGGTCCTTATTGACAACCAAAGTACTTGAGATATAAGACTGCAAAACTGAAAATTTCGATGCCGACGGATGACCAAGCCTCGAGTGCCACAACTGAGAGTCTCTAATAGCCTGCTTTGCCGTGAATGCCACTGGATGACGCCCATCAAACACTTGCAAGTAATAGAGACCATCGACACGTCTACCCATCCCAATCATCGCTCTGGAGCGTAAGTCCTGTAGCACGCAGAAATCACTCAAGAAAATTACAGCAACAGCATGATCGGCGGTAAGACGACTGACATACAATAGATTGCACTGAAACTCGGGAACATGCAGAACACGACGAAGCATGAACCCATTACTTAATTTCGAGTTCCCAATACCCTGAACTGAGATACCCGTTCAATTAGGAATGCGAACCTGTAAACTCGAGTCGGTATCCAACTCGCCATCAAATAAACATTTATCTTTAGCAATGTGTTCGTTACACCCAGAATCAATAACCCATGCTGTAGATAAATCGACCGAAGACATACCTGACAAATTTGCCGTCGGCTGTGACTTGAGCCGCGGCTGGTTCTGAGTTCAGAATGCCCGGAGCTGGGCAACCTGCTCGGCAGTGAGGCCTGGAATGGAAGTCTCTGTGCGCTCCACCGCTGCTGCTTGAGGCTCAGAAAGCGGCGCACGAGACGAACCGTGACGACGAGGACGACTTGACTTGTCTCCAGACTTAGGCGGCCAACCATGCAAGTCATAACACGTACTCTTGAAGTGACCAAGCTTGCCGCAATGACTACACAGAGGTCGTCCTTCCGGCG